GCCAACTGCACTTTTGTACTTTTGAATCATTTATTAATTGCCACTCGGTACCTTTAGCACGTACTATGTTTGTATAATGTCCATCAGTTGTACTTTTACCTTGATGAAAAATTCCACTAATAACTTTATATATATTCGCACCAATACATATCTTTTCTGTAGGTACACCTTTAATTTTTAAATCTGTTACTTTAATAATTTTTGTATCACTAATTTTAAATAATGATAACTGTAAGATAATAATACTTCCTGTTATTATTGTATCAGTCTTTTCAAATACAGAGACAGCATTACAATTGGTACATATTTTTTCAACAATATTCCAAAGTGAAAAATTATATTGTATTAATTCTTGTAAAGTATATGATTTTTTTAAATTTTCGGGTAATTGGAGCAATAATATATAATTTGTATAAATTTTTGTGTTTGTATAGTTGCATACCTTACATCGTAAAGTTATGTTTAATTGGTGCTCGATTACACTCTTTATATTATCTATGTTATTAATAAGATGTATAATAAACTCACTAACATCTCGTTGAATCTTTTCAAGATATTGATCTCCTGCCAATTGGCGTATTGCCATTATATTAATAGTTTCATTGTTTGACATGTAACAATTAATAAATTTTCTTATAATATTCCTGTGCTCAAGACGAAGCAACAATTTTCAGAGAATAGAAGAACGAAGTATACATTGAATTGAAACATTAGCATAGCAAGGTATATTATCAACATTTGGAAGTTCTCTTATATGTCATAAAGTAGAATCATTAATATCCTTATCATTAACTTGACATTCCAAGATATTTTTTGATGATATTGCCCAAATTGTATCACGAATCTTGTGAACACGTTGTTTCAAAATATTAATATGTATAAGATCTGGCCTGTATTGTGTTCGCAATCTATTATATTCTATTATAGCTAACTCATTTGCTTTTACAGAAGAGGGATCAAAATTTATAAGGTGCAATCCACTCAGGGTAGTCACTCGTGAAAGAGCGACATATACTTGTCCACAACTGAATATAAAATTTCCAGCTTCCACAACAGCATGTTTTAAACTCAGACCTTGACTTTTATGAATAGTCATACCATAACTTAGACATATAGGAAATTGTTTTCTTATAACAAATGCTCTATCCATTACTTCAAACTTGACATTTAAACGTTCTATAATATGCTCTATTCCTGATGACACTATTATCTTAATCATTTCTACTTCATTATCAATTGCGCTACGTATAATTGATGTAATTGTACCAATCGTACCATTTACAAGACCTAAACTAACATCGATATTTCTTCTAACCATTACACGAGCTCCTAATTTGACAGTTATGATTCTTGCTAATCCAGCTGTTCGAGAACTATCTTCATCATCTTTATTTAATATCTTCATAACTTTTTTCTTTAAATATGGTGCACATTCTGCCAGATCTTGAGCAACGAGTTCTATCTTATCCGAAGAAATACGATTTAACATTGCAGTATTCAAAATATCACATAATGCACAAGTTGGAAGTAAGCAAACAGTATCCATTGGTAAATTTTGTAAATAATTACATAATTCTTGTAATCGGTCGTCACAATTAGTTTCTCTAAAATTGATTTTCCTCGTTTCTAAAATAGTTACGTCCGAATCTGTAATTGTTCCAATTCGAATTCTCGTTAATATATCTCGATAAGAATTATCACCTTGTTGTCGTACATTAATTTGTAATTCATCATAACTAAATAAAGACCATAAATTTATAGAACCCATTGCACCAATGTATTTCTCAATTTTTAATTTTGATAATTCAATAAAAGGCGGATCTTCATGCACAGGTGGAAGTTGCAATAAATCTCCAAAAAGAAGTATATGTTTTTTGCCGAACCATCCATTATCGCAATCCATGGTATTAAATAGTTAATTTAATCGAAGATGTATGTACATTAAAGTGATATTTGAAATCATTGAAACTTCATCGATAATTATTAAAACAACATTCTTACTCTCGTATAGTATAATTTTAAGAACTACATCAGAAAGTTGTGTATATTTGGCAGTACGACCATGTTCTACCGGTAATTGAAATAATCTATGAATAGTAAGTCCATCAATATTAAAAGCTGCTATACCGGTTGGTGCAGTTACCGCTGTGTCTTTTTCAATATATTTTTTAATCCAACATCTAATAGTTTTTATCAAAAAACTCTTTCCAGTACCACCTTTCCAGTATTTCCAGTACCATCTTCACCGCTTACATAAAGTCTAAGAACTTCACTATTATCATCAGATATACCAGCAATAATTTTATCTTTTTGATCATTTCAAGACAGTCATTTCATCTTCATTTTTTGTAATTTCTGATATTTTTTTTCAATTAATTCTTTAATATTATCCATACCTTGCTGAATGTCGGTTATTTTTTCATGATACTGAAGAGCATCTTTCAATTTATATTGTATTAAAGAAAATGCTTCTGCATAATTATCACATTCATTCTTTAATTCACTAATATCTCTCCAAGATTGAAATAATAACAATAATGAAAAATAGTAACGCTCTGGTTGAGTATGAACATTATATTTGTAATGATTGATAAGATATCCATGTTTACGTTTCTTTAAATATAAAGATTCACCAAGCACGTAATACTTTATCGTCTTAGAAATTGGTTTAGTTTTCGTAATATCATACCATTTTGCATAATCATACAAATTAGTAGATTCTAGTTCTTTAGGTCTGCTTGGATAATATGTATCAATTAGAGAAGGACAAAAAATATCCATAGATTCAGAAAAAAGCATTTCAATCTTTTTGCGAGATTTAAGTCGTCTACTTCTAATCATATTTACATCTAACCATCTTATAGTCGTTTCTTTGTCAGTACCATATAATGGTATTCCTAATAAAGTGTCAGCAGCTTCGAGAGCTCCACATTCTCTATGATTCAACATACGCATTCCAATATTCCAAAGACAACTTCTCAACGATTTTGCTGAATTTATCTTTTCAGATGTATCTTCTGCTTTATTACTCTTTTCTGCTTTGGAAACATATTTCGTAGTATACCAAGTTAATAACGTAGATTTTTCACCTACGAATTGAATATCCATGTTTCCTTCCCAAGCAGTAAGAATAGCTGGATTATAATCATTAATATTGACTTCCTCTTTAGATCGTGGCAAATCGTAGTCTGCTTTTTGTTTTCAATTTTCTTCTATCCGCTATTGAAACAGCAACGTCTTTAATTTTCAAAGTATCTGTTACGGATCGTGAAAAGCCAAACCTGCATACTTTAGAAAAACCTACTTTAGTTTTTTTGGTGCGCAAGCAGTAATTATTATGTTTATGTCGTTGATGTGTATTTACACGTCGATATAATTCAGGTGATAACTGTTTATTTGGAATTCTACAAGTGACATATTTTAAAATAAAAGATGCAATATCTTCATTAGAAGATGTACCAATTATCGGAGCATCTTTTATCCAAATTAGCAAATGAAAATGTTGCATATCTCTACCTTGATATTCACGACGCCAAAAGTAATGAGTGACCTCTCCGATTGGATTATCAGGTGAACAAATAAAATCAAGCATAGCTTTAAATTTATTATCCACGAATCTCGAAGTTGATACAGGATCAAGAGCAATAAGTTTGTTTGCAGATTTTTGATTGGCAATTGATTCATTTATTTCTCGAAGATATTCTATCAAATCGGTCCATAATCACTCACATGGACTGATGGTAAGAAACCAAGAAGCAGGTCCATAATTACATATCATACAATGCAAATTACTTCTAGGTATTCTCCAATATTATTCTGTATTACGTAAATATAGTATTTCTCCAATATTGTTCTGTATTACGTAACTTTGAAAATATAGTATTTAAATTAGATTCAAGCTGCTGGTTAGATAATTGCTCCAAATAAGTAGCAGCTGTATATCTTTCACGAGGATTGGTAACATTCATTTTATGAAATATTCCACTATTTAATTGTCGCATATTGTTATCATGTAATAAATAGAAAAGATATTGTATATTTAATCGAAATTGTGAGTGTTGCGACATAAGTCTCATTTTAATATATTCAAAATCAGTTATCCGAACACTTTTATCTTCATGCTATCCATTCGCATATGGATATAAATCAGGAAATATGGATATAAATCAGGAAAACATTTAATATCCAAATCTTTATTACGATTATCCAATGGGATATCTTGAACTTTTATCATTTGATAAAGTGTAGTTGCAGATTCATTTATTCTTTTTTCATACATTGGATATATAGTAAATTGTTCATAATATTGATCTGTTTGAGTCAATAATGCCTTACATTCTTCCTTAGAAGTATAATTTTTACATTTTTTTCATTATCTTCCCCCAAAGTTTTGTCATGAAGTTCCAAATCATGTTCTTGAAACTCAACATCTCGTAATTTGGAATGCAACAAATTTTCAGGAGATGTCGGTAGTATAATATCTGAATATATAGGATTATTTTGTTTTAACCATATTAAGGCAGTCCATACTTTTTTTACATCGACTAATTTTTCCCAGATTATATTTGCTTTAGTTGGAACACCACGAACTAATATATATAGCTCATGATTATAATTAATAGGTTCAGTCGAAGAACAAATCTTGTTTAACGTTTCGTTTAACCAATGGCAAGTGGAATGTTCTACCTTTTACTTTTGATATCATTTCTCTGTGCGGTAGATTTTTATTTATTACCGTATGCGCTCTTTGCACAATTTGAAATGCTTTCGCTCGTTGTATAAGAATTCGCTCGTAATCATTTAATGTTGTTATTTCTTTTGGTACTGGTAGCACTTCGAGCTTATTGATTCTGCATGTTGGTGGCATTTTATTATTTTTGAAATATCGATCACAAAAGTTGCAAATAATATATTTTTCATTAATTTTTAATCCTATATCATTAATAAAATTGTTCCAAACAGTTGTATCATTTTTCTTACAAATTTTTTTCATAACAATATCTCTTTTGAAACAATATTTTGTACAAGAAATACAACCAAACTTTGGAACATCTATCGATCGTTTCGTAAATGCTGTAAAAGCTAAGTAATATTGAGAATGAATTTCATCTTCATTTAAATTAATTTCCGCATTAACCTGTGTTACAGTTTGTCCTTTTTGTTGAGCCTCAATATCGTAATTTATTCAATTTTTTATTAAAATTAATCAAATTATATATTAATCTTTTAATATATCGTATCATCGGATAATGGGGAGATACCATCTCAATAGATAAAAACCATGATTTACACATTTTGTAGTCGATATAACAGCCATGAGAATGACCTATTTTGTCTTGATGTATTTGATTGTAACAATTATGAGAACATAAAAATTTTTTACGCAGAGTCATTAATGTACAATTTAAAAATTCTTCAAAGCAGCACTTCAAATCGTTAATAATGATCTCTTCCATTTTACAAAGGGAACTACAGCGCCATGCTTTTGTGGTTTTATGTTTTGATTCTATTAAGGGTAAAATATTAATTGCTTTACCTTCGGAATCCATTATAATAGGTTCAGAAACATTATATGTATGATAGGTAGTTTCTGCAAAATATAATTCCGAAGAAGCGGTATGTTTATCTTGTCCACAAAACATATTTACATATTCTGTAAATTTTGATGAAGAACATTCCGTTGCACGTGTCAAACAAACTTCCATTTTTTGTTTACATTTATTAAATGTTCTTTTCATTTGTAAAATATAAACTTTTCTTATATAAAAGCACCATTTTGCTATACGTTCAGCTTCCAATCTATTTTCGGACAACGACGACATTTTAAGAATTTTTGATATATTTCTAATACACTTTTCTTTATTGTATTTCATATCATTTATTTTTGTTGTTTTTTTGTTATAATTATTTTTTAATTCTTTATTTATCTTGTTTTTATAGTAAATGTTTCTTTTTAATAGTATATTGTTTCTATGTAATCTATAATATTCCTTCATCGATTTCTTAAAATAATTTATGCGTTTTACATAATATTCCTTCATCGATTTCTTCAAATAATTTCTGCGTTTTTCATAATATTCCTTCATCGATTTCTTAAAATAATTTCTGCGTTTTTCATAATATT